AATCCAAAGAAACGAGAACCAAAACCAAAACCAAAACCAAAACCAAAACCCGAAAGGGATGGAAATAAAAGTGGAAAAAAGAAGACAAAGTACCGAGGCGACGCATCGTTAGTACGGTCGCGAGAGCGAACCAAAGAAAGAGACCGGAACATTCCTAATTAATCGTTATCTCTGATTGCAGGCGTACGAGCTGTCGACACTGACAGGTACACAGGTGATGCTGCTGGTAGCGAGCGAGACCGGGCATGTGTACACGTTCGCGACACGAAAGCTGCAGCCGATGATAACGAGCGAGGCCGGGAAGGCGTTGATCCAGACCTGCCTGAACAGCCCGGACCCTCCCGCCTCCAGTTCCTCTGGCGACCAGAGGATGTCCGCGACCGGGTTCGAGGAGACCGAACTGACCTACAACATAGCCGACGACGAGCAGAAAGTAAGGCAACTGGTGTATGGCTCGCCGCACGGTGGCTCGCTGCACGGCGGATATCCTGGTGGCGGACCGACCGGAGGGCCTCCTGGCCATCCGCCACCCCCGCCGCCGCCACCGCCGCCGGGTTCGCAGCACGCGCCACCCTCGCACGCGCAGCACGCGCACCTGATTGCGCATGCACACGCGGCCTCGCCGAGCTCGCACCTGGTACCCTGTTCCAGTCCCGGGCCCATGTTAGCCGGTGGCCCTTATCAACAATCTTGTCCCTCACCTCTGCCACCCCATCACGCCGCCTACCATCCTCACATGTCGCATTCGCATCCCCAACGGTAGTACTACCCTAGCATTTAAAACTACTGTCGCTCACGTGTCCTCCGACTCTGATCGCCAATGCATCGCAGTTGCGTTCCATCCCGTCACCAACCATACTACTGTGTTCTATTTTTGCGTCTGATTTCCCATGACCGATAACAATACGAAATATCAAGACAGAGAGATAGAGAAGAGCGGGAGAAGAACGTGAGGTCCGACGCGTCCGTGGATACAGAAGATAGATGTTCGATAAGAGTCGGTGCCCGCGCAGCTAGAAAACTACCGTCGCCGGCGTAACGGCAATTATCCGCGTACGCTTATCGCGACCGTCGCCTGTCGTCGATCGACTGTATGACAATCGTCGTCGGCTTCGAACGAACGCTCGTTGCTGCTCCGTGTTCTCGCGATACGACGCTATGAGATTTCCCCCGGCGTAGTAGATTTCGAAAATGTACCCTGTTATAAATCGATCGAGTAGGTTTGCAGAACGCGGAGGAGATATCACGTTCTCTATGTGTAGACTCGAGTAGTTTCTTTATGGAGTTTCACTGAATTCCATGGGGAAACTTAATTGTTCTAGCGATTTCATTAGCAAGAAGCAGGATCGGCGAAGAGAGTGAAACCACATTTTTCCCCTCTCAACGATTCGTGCTTCGAATCTGTAGGAATCCGTGCTAGGTTTTCTAAAGCTTCTTTTCTGTTACTCTTCTGTCACAGCGTTTCAGGGCTCCTCGAACATGACGCCTTCGCGTCGGTGCAATTCCGTCCAAGTTATTGGCGCGAGTATATATCGCATTCAAGTTAGGTGAGCGAAAACGCGTTAAACTTCTTTTCCCGTGGTCATTTGATCATTCTCGAGGCATTTAAAAAAAAAAAAAAAAAATAGACGTATCATTGTTACGATGGATTTATTATATTGTAATGCTTTATTCGAGAACGCGTCGTTCAAGGGACGTAAAATCGTACGTTGTTTGCAAGCTGAATAACGAATCAGCATGACGGAGGAAGTTCCGGACGATATCCGACTTTCTTTTCCGGACAATGAATATCGAAATTCTCGATGAGGCGTATTACATCCGGTGTCAATGAAAGTACGGTTATTTTCTTTACGTATGTGTGTATGTGTGTAGAGAGAAGAACATCATCTCGTACGAAGTGCGAATGACCATAGATTAATATGCTGAACACTCGGCACGTTCAAGTTTAATTTGACGTGAATTTGATGAAAGTGAAGTTTCTTCTAGAAGATTTCAACCCTACCATGTTGTTTAGATTATCGATCGTATTTTTGTATTGTTAAAAAATTTCTTTTTCTGTATAAAAAATTTTAGATACTTGTTAAAACAATTTGTTAGAAAATTTTAAAAAATTTTAAAAATTTGTTAAAACGTAACATCACGACAGATTTAAAGCCCAGAAAAATTCGATCAATGTTAAAATAGTGAATTTTTTATAAGAGACGTAGAGAGTCTTCTATATGATTTAATACCTGTTATAAATTGTTAACTTCTCGTCGAAAAATTGAAAGAAAATGAAACGTCTCTGTCAGATCGTTTCTTAAATCTCTCTCTTTTCTAATCTAAATAAATCGTTGTTTTGACAGAGGCATTGAGACATCGAGTTATCATAAAGTCATTTGCATAACTTCCTGTCGTTTCTGAATTAATTTATCGACACTGCTCTCTCGATAAATCCACTTCTTGGATACGTTAATGCGAGGACTTATGAAACGACTGGATAGAATGCTAACAACGAGAAAATAGCTCGCATAATTGCGTGCCAGGTGCACTAAAAAAGATTTAACCAAATCAGTCGACGAGGTAAAATCGAGACTACTTATGGTAACGTGCGCTCGCGCGCGCGCGCTTCGAGACCTAGTACAGTTGTTAACGACAATCAGAACGATGTTTTGCCACGGCTGGCTCGTTGGGAAGAGTTTCAGGCAATTAACTTTTCTTTCAACTCGGTATCACGAATAGAGAAGGTTTCTAAGGACACCTGTCATCCTCGAGATGAGGTCGTACAGTACTTAACGTAGTAGCTGGTTCAGTACTTAATACATTAAGGGAGATTATCGTTCGATTATTATTCATTGTCTCAAACAGTGGTTTTTCTTAAGATTAGAAAATCGAAGAGCTCGTAATAAAAACAACCCTTATCCACGCGCTTGTCTTTTCATTTCTGGTCAATACGTTCCGGTTTTGTTAAACAAAATATTCGTCGCACATAAATTTCATAATCACTAATGCAAAAGAATGATATTTAATTAAATCAAGTTGTAGAGGGATGGATCGTTTTGTGAGTGTAGCTTGTGCCTATTAGAATGCATTATCTAAGGGATTAAAACGATGGTCGTTTTTGTTACGAGTTCCTAAATTAGATTGACGCGACGTATTCTTGAGGATTAATCGCGATCGAGCGACGTATGTTGTTAGCCGAAGCGTGTGATGGTGTTTTCAATGAAAACCGATCGGAGCGCAAGAAAACGTACAGTGCTCCGTTTCCAACGTATAAATCTAGTCCAGTCGACGCGTACTGTAAATGTATACTTTAGAGATTTATGTCTACGATGTTCTGATCTATCCGAGTGAACAGAGACAAAGATGATCGATGATGGATTTTCCTGAGCGATCGTCCACGAGATCAAACGTCCTAGCTTTCGACAAATCGAGTTTAAAGGAACAATTGAGATCATGAAATTTACGATCTTTATAGATACGTTAATTCAGAAATAGGGATATGGAAATATTTATAACTTAAATTTAATTTTAACAATTAAGTACCGAGTAAGATATTTTGTAATTCTGGCGTGAATTTGATAATTTCATTTGTTTCGATCAGCTTGACAATCATAATAAATTTATATAAAATAACAACGTTCGAAATATATAAAGAAAGACAGATGAAGACTTTATCTGCAATCATTGTTTATTGCTCGTGGTGTGGAAACGAGATTAAAAAGTAAGTTATTAGAGAATTCAGGAAATAGACAATTTAATGGCTGGATCTATACATTAATCAAAGTCCAAAGACTTTTTTTCTACGATACGTACTTCGTTCAAGTTGTATTTTTTTATTTTTTTTTTTTTTTTTTTTTTTGCGAAACGGACCTAAAATTCATAGGAAGACACGTATCTATGGAAGTTTTCGTTTATGAAAACGACAATGGAGAGGCAATTCTTGATCATGCACTTAGGATAGTAACTCATGTGATGAATTACTCGAGGAGCCATGTATTTTGTACATGTACATTTTATTTCGTTCTATTCTTTCTACGTAAATCGTATTTATAATTATCTCTTACGGCGATGGAATCTCTCTTATTTATTTAAAAATCTATATATACGTTGTAAGTTGATCGATCGTCGTCGAGCAACGAGAATCGAGTGGAACTGTAGGAGGTGAGCCGTAATTTGAACAACTGAGAAATAAATTTCGATCTTTCGCATTTAACTCCGCGACGTCGATAGTCGACTTACTAATCTACTCGACATAATTCAGTGAACTGTCAGTGTCGTCGTCTCAGCCTCGATATTTGACTTAATCGTTCTTCTAATTGTTCTAAGTATTTTATCGACGTACGAAAAACAATCGTAGGAAATACAATTTCTTATTAGCGCTCGGTTTTCCTTCAGTTCCAAATCGTTCGATCGTACTTTATTTTGCAACAAATATCGTACCTAGTTGATGGGATTGGCGAGGCCGGAATCAAAGGAAAAATCGAATCTCATTCCCGAGCATTCCCTTTTTTTTTCTTTTCTTTCCATCAAAGATCCTTATCGAGGCATCCGTTATTTTTTTCAAATACTCACGTCGTTCGGGTCGAGGCGTTTCGCCTTTCCCTGCGACGAAACGCAAAAAGAGCCAACGAAGAAACGAGAAATCGTAGTACGTG